CTTGTTGAAGTTCTATTAGAGGTTTTACGGTATTCAGATTTTGACAGGGGCTTTTTGAGCGGGTCATCTAACCCCTGTCAAAAAATGAGAAAATTCTGAAAGCCTTTCTAAAACGACCTACCTTGTTAGTTGTGCATTATTACGGTTTGGGAACCCTTTTATCACAGGTCTTACGGTAAATATTATTTTCAGAATTTCCCCTCTGTTCTGTGATTGAAAAACAAATTTAATATAGGTACTGTTTTACTTTACTGTTTTAATTGGACTCACAAAAAGATCATGTTCAAGAGTTTCTTTGTGCCATTCATTCCACCGGCTGATCTCTGTTTTTAAACCAGAAAAATTGATTCAATGAATAGAAAAGCGAATAAAAACCCTTTCCTGAAAAAAAACCAGTTAAAAATCTTGAAAATTTGTTCAAGGGGTCTTCAAAAACACTTCTCGCCCATTCTCACAAAAAGCAAAAAACGATAAAAAAGAAAATCCTAGGCGGGGTCGAACCAAAAACATTCGGTTTAATAGCCGACACCGTATACCACTAGACCACCCATGCTCTTTGAAAAAAAAGGAGAGAATGCAATTATAACAAGGGGCGCGTGTAAAAAATTTAAAAAAATATAAATTATTTTGAATTTAGCGAAACAAAATTTCACGTTAAAAAAAAACTTTTATGTGAAAAAACGGAGCAACGAGATAAGAATCGCTCAGGATTTTTTGCATATAAGGGAAGAGAGAAACAGTGAGAATCGTCAGTTCCCGATTGGGAAATGGTATCCAGCTGGAAGGAGCTGGAGCTCTGGTATCCGGAGCTTTGCGAGCCAAAGCTCTGGGAGTTGGTGCTCTGGGATCTGGGTCCTGGAGCCATTGGAACCGGAGTTTCCTGAACTGGAGCTATTTGCGGAATCGGAGCTGGCGGAGGTGGAATCGGAGCTGGTGGAGGTGGAATCGGAGGATCGGAGCTGGTGGAGATGGAATCGGAGCTGGTGGAGATGGAATCGGAGCTGGTGGAGGTGGAATCGGAGCTGGTGGAGATGGAATCGGAGCTGGTGGAGGTGGAATCGGAGCTGGTGGAGGTGGAATCGGAGCTGGTGGAGGTGGAATCAGAGCTGGTGGAGATGGAATCGGAGCTGGTGGAGGTGGAATCGGAGCTGGTGGAGGTTGAATCGGAGATGGTCAAGGTGGAATCGGAGGATCGGAGCTGGTGGAGATGGAATCGGAGCTGGTGGAGGTGGAGTCGGAGCTGGTAGAGGTGGAATCGGAGATGGTCAAGGTGGAATCGGAGGATCGGAGCTGGTGGAGGTGGAATCGGAGCTGGTGGAGATGGAATCGGAGCTGGTGGAGGTGGAATCGGAGCTGGTGGAGGTTGAATCGGAGATGGTCAAGGTGGAATCGGAGGATCGGAGCTGGTAGAG